ATGACAGGAAAATTTATATTTCAAAAATTAATTTTTACATTAAGTTTGTATTCAGATACAGAAATTGGTGTGCAAGACTGATTCAATTAGGATAGATACTCCACAACAATATCTGTGACAGATTTAGATTGAAATTGGAATTGGAATTGGAATTGAAATATGATGCAAAGATTGTGTCGACTATAGGCACTTTCAAGATCTTTTTTTTTTCCAAAATTTTTTTTTTAAGTTTAGAATACTGATAGTCATTGATTAAAGAAGTATAACTTTTGTATGCTCTAGACTGTGACAGATGTGCTGAAGAAGTCTACTGTGGAGGATGAAGAGAAAGAAGATGAAGGAGGAATAGATATAGCAGCAGCTAGACAGAGGATGATAGAGGAGGACAAGATAGATAAACAGATCTATAGGGAGCGGATCAAACAAAAACACAGGGTAAGATCATAGATCTATAGGGAGTGGATCAAACAAAAACAAAGGATAAAATCACAGATCTGTAGGGAGCGGATCAAACAAAAACACAGGGTAAGATTACAGATCTGTAGAGAGCGGATCAAACAAAAACACAGGGTAAGATTACAGATCTGTAGGGAGCGGATCAAACGAAAACACAGGGTAAGATCACAGATCTATAGGGAGCGGATCAAACAAAAACACAGGGTAAGATCATAGATCTGTACGGAAGCCATATTGATAATAGTGTAAAAATCAAGGTCTGTAATTTTATGAAATGGACAGTAAGATTCAAAACTTAAAATGTACTTATCAATAGTTATCATCAAATAGATACAAACCAAAATTCCTTTCAACATCTATACCATGGTAAAACAAATGTCCATACAAGTTAAATTTTTATAATTTTTTTTCAAATTTAAGGGGAACAAAGGTTTGATTATGAAATTCACATTTTTAAAAAGATTGCTAACAACTAAATTAACTGATGTGATTTCCATGTCTGTTCAGGAGGAGAGACTGAAAAGAAGAGAAGAGAGGAAAGCAAGAAGCGGAAGACATAAAGAGGAGGTAATGCGAATTAATAAAAAAATTAAGAAAATCATTACTTACATACCTTATAAAGCTGTTTTAATTTTACTTGAGTTGAATTGGAAAGACTGAGGTGATTTCATTTAAGAATTCATGTATAATCCATATGACTTTTTACATAACTTTTCTATGAACCTCATTGAACATACCACAGTCTCCATTTGTACATATATATTTACATTTCCAAATATTTTCCTTTAAGCTTCTTTTCTCATGAACTAGCATGGATGAGCATGAATATCTCATAGTTGACATCAGAACTTTTATGCAAACTGTTTTGAGTCAAAAATGATAGTTGAATGACATAAATTTGTGGCAAGTCATCAGATAATTAATGTAAATACAGTTGAACTTCGGTATCTCGAACACAGATATCCCGAATACCATGGATATGTCAAAGTGATTGGGATGTCCTATCTACATATCTCTTAAGTATTTTACCCTCAATATCTCGAACCCTCAGATATCTTGAAGTTTTTTCTCCATCCCATCAAGTTCGAGATAACGAAGTTTGATTGATAAGGTTTGAATTTAATTTTGAAAATTCTTGAGTTACATGAAAAACATTGTTTCATGCCTGCATATTTATAATGAAGCGCTAACAAGCTTCATTATATATGCTGGTGTGAAGTGTTATAGTTCCTCATGAATTTTCAAAAATTAATTTCATTTCTTAAGCATAATATAATGGAGAATGTCTTTGACTTGAAATTTGTGCAGTTTGATGCCTCAAAGTAACATTGACAGGATTTTGATTTTGCCAATTGGCTAAAGTCTTATGTTATTCAATAAAGAAAAATTCAAACATAATTCATTGAAGATTTTGTCTTATACTCTTAGTTTGACAGAATTTTTAATTTGTATTCTACATCTCTCTCTCTCTCTTTCTCTCTCTCTCATTAACGATTGAATCATTATATCACTAGGATTAGTCAAAGGAAATGGTAAATGTGTAAAATGTATTGGATTCTTCTTTTACAGGATGAAGATGAGATGGTTGTCCAGTTAGGAGGTTCTGAAGAGGAAGAGGATGGAGATGACCCCCTCAGTTATATCCCCACCCCTGACAATTCTGACCAATCAGGAGAGGAGAGTGATGAGGAAGTGTAAGTACCCTGGTAATAATGATAGTGTAAAACTCAGAGTACTAACGAACATAGATATACTCTGTACCAACTATTATTTGTGACTCTTTTATGTTTCGTCAATTTGACATCCATCTGTGACTATTAATTTCCATGACTGGAAAAATATTCTGCTTCTACTATGGTTATCACAAAGAGAGATACCGCGGACAGTATTCTCCAATAAATCACAAACATCATCAACAAATTATCAATAAAGTTAAATTGGTTTCCTATAATTTTAACTGTGTTCACTATGAAAAGGATAGAGATATCTTTTGATTGTGATGCATATTGATGGAAAAAATTACTTTAGCCTTGGAATACATCACACTTTTTCTAAGCTTGAGATAAAAATGAACGAGGAATAGCATTCTATTCTGATGATGTCCAAATCAAGCTTCTGCATTTCTCTATACACAAGTTTAAATATTCACTATAGCAGAATAGAAGCAATTCCCTCATCATTGGAATTGTTGGAGAATATACCCCTCAGTCTTAAGATTTTGTTGGCAAATAAAAACCTTTGGGCTTGTTTTTAGGTCACCTTGATAATAAAGTGAATCTGTAGTAAAAAATGCATTATTTCTTTGAAAATCTTCTCTGCACCTGGACATACATGTATCAGAGGCAAAAAGAGTAAAAGTTTTAATAAAGATTTTTGAACATATGGACCATTTTGTCAAGTGTTCTGGTCCTGGCCAGGCTCTATTAATTTTTATTTTACTGAGGAGTTATTCCCCTTTGCCATTTACTTTTGATAATTAGTCACTGTAAATAATGTACTTGAAAAGTTAATAGAGTAAGAGAATTGTGCAAGATTTTTTATCATATAATACAAAAAGTACTTTCATAGTTTTAATGATCAGGTAGACTTTAAGTAATAGATAAATAAAAATGAGACAAAAATAACTTGTCTTATTCAATGTTCATCATAGACCAAAAGAGTCCAATGTAAGAGATTTCAACAAGGAATTAAAATAGTACAGAAGCATTAATAGTTAGTTAATAACTGAATGGTGATAGTGATAATTGGGGAATGGATTAGAACCTAATTTACGAACTGTTAATGAACACTCGACTAATTATTTTGTTAATCCTGATCACCCTATTTTTCTTGCTTTTGGGCAACAAAGCTTCACCTTTCAGTTTATTTTATAATCTGTGGATCCTTTAAATTGTTGTATTATACTCAGGTGACCGTTAAGGCCCTTGAGCCTCTTGTTTTAATTTGCCAACAAAATCAACTATCACTCAGGGTATATTCTCCATCAATTCCTCTGATGTGGAAATTATTTCTTCAAATGCAAAACTTCAGGATATTTCTTGAACACAAATAAAAGTTGGTATGAATCGTTTTGGCTCCATTTTCCTTGAAATCTATTGTAGAAACATCCAGTTTAATATTTTTTATAGCAAGTTAGTTGAATAATATATGTATATAAAACGTCATATATTGAATATGATTGATAAAACTTTTCTCTTATGAAAGTGAAGATGGGATAATATTATACTTTCATGTAAATTATTTGAATCTCATTCGTCGAGACACATTTGTTAAAAAACACTATTACCCACTGAATAATGAAGCCACACCCTCCAGCAAAGCAACAGTCAACATTGTTTGACAACAGGTGATATTCAAAAAAATATTGACTGCACAGAATTTATGTGCGTAAGGTTCACTGTAATATGGATTTGTATAAAACATTCAATATAATATAATAAATACTTCATGTAGTTGAGTAAATTTTGAAAATTTTCACCCCTTGAAAACCATTTTCAACCTCAGCTGCACCTTGGTTGACAATGGTTTTCTTGGGGTGAAAATTTTCAATGTTACACTCAACTATATGCAGTATTTATATAATGTAACATGAATAATTAACCTTTTATCAGATTAAGAAAATTTGAAACAAAAAACAGGAAAGCTGTGCTTTGTTTTCCATTGTCTGGAGTGAAGGAAAGAGGAATGCAGTGTGATATGGCATACTAAAAGCAAATAATACGGTCAGTCAGAACAGTGACATTTATTTGTGTTTTTTTTTATTAATTACAGACCATCAAAAAAGAGAAGAATGGTTGTTAACAGTGATGAAAGCAGTGAGGAAGATGAGGAAGACAATGACAGTGAAGATGATGTGAGGGATAGTGATGATGAAAGTGAAGAGGAAAGTGAAGATGACATGGACACTGGGCTGAGTCTAAATGATGATGAGGCTATTGCCCTTAAATTGTTACACAGCTGATATTTATAAATTATTGGATAAATAAATTATCAGATTTTAGCTTTATTTTAAGAGATGTTTTTTTACTGGAGGAGTTTCTATATCATGGTAAAATATGTGATATCTTACACCGCAAGCTTTGCATTGAGGTTTGGCATCAGCATTTACATGTAACATGGAGGAAAATTGTGATTTAGGAAAAAACCATGATTTCTCTATGCAATTTAGTATACATAATATATTACAGGGAAATTTTAACAAGTCACATGAGGGTTTTTATAGAAATCATATTTGGCAAAGATGACACCACTATGTGTAAATATAAATACATGTATAGGCCAAATCGCAATCTTTCAAGTACAAATGCACAAATGTGTGTACTCCCATTCAAATCTAAATGAAGGCATAGCTAGATCATGATGCAATCTTAGATAAGTGCTGTTTGGGTTTAAACAAAAATATTTAGACCTGTACAAAAACTTTTATTTAGCAAGCCTTTGTTCATAAATAAGAGAATCAGGAAACCAATCAGGTTATGTTAAATAGCATGGTCTAGCTACCCCTACAATAAAATTTAAATTGGCATACACTAAATAAAAAGTAGTTAGGTGAGATTCATTTTATTAGTATATGACTATATATTATTTGAATAATAAATAAATGAAATTGTTAATATGTATAACAGTTCAACATGCTGCAAAAATATCAATGCATTCACACTGCACTTGAACAATTTTACAGAGCTTAATGACATTACACAGTGTGCTCTGGCAACTTTCTCAAATTCTGGTCCCAACTGAAAGTAGTGTGCAGAATGTCTTATACTAATGATGTATCAGAAGAAAAAAAAAACATTGAAACATTTACATGATTTAAGAGTTAGTTTCTATGGAATTTTTTTATTGGATATTTCTGATTGTCTTGAAAATGCAAGTGAATATAAATGATTGTCGAAAAAAGTCAACTCGATAATTTGTAACAATTTAACTTCATAAACAAACATTTATGCGAGTAAAATGAAAGTGTATAAAAGGAATGTGGCTCCAAACAGGAAACACCAAACTCGGTCAAGGACCAGAGCCACCTGCTGCCACTCGTTTTGAACTTCCTGTCGCGCCTGCGCAGCTTTCGTACAAATGATCATAGTCTGCACATGACGCAATATTTCTTCCACGTCTTTCTCCAGTTTATTTTGGTTATTGGAAGCGTCAGATTTAACAATAGGTTCTACAGGAGGAATATCCAGGGCTTTCATTGTAAGAGTGTCCACTTCATTTAAAGGGAAATAACTGTCGTCGCCCAGACACACTAAGCGCTTAAGTCCCCGCAAAAAGCACTGAAAACCAAAATGTGGATAAGTTAGATCGTAACCAATTTATCAGTCATCAAAGCTTTGATTTCAGTCATGAATATACAATTGATATTCAGCATTCCAAATAAATACTGTAGCGTATATATTCCTTATATTTTATTTACTGTAACAGTGTTTTGTTGGCTATGCTGGTTTAGAATTGATTTTTGTCATAGAGCCTGATTGTGAGTTAATGCTATACATTGTAATGAAAATAGCAAAGAAAGTAACCAAAGTGCAAACAAACAGTATAGAACATATCCATCGATTTGTTTTCTTACTTGTCGCATCAAATCTGGTACCCTTCTACTCCTAGGACCACGTGACTGTGTAGCGATCACCCATATCGAGGCTAACATAGACAAGGCTATCCACACCAAGGTCAGGCTATAAAATGTGGCTAAAAGAAAAAGGAAATGTCAATAAACACAAGACACGCTAGTTCATCAGTAGAGATACCTCTCCATTTGTAGAATTGTCAAACAATCGTTCTAACCAGTTTATCTGATATTGCATCTATATGTACAGTGTATAATCAACAAGCCATCTTCAGAATCCTTCAAAGCCTCCTCGAGATCATGACTAGAGCTCCGCGGGAGCTGATAGGGTAAGAAATAACAATAAACACATTTATTTTTGCACTAAGTAATATGCCGTGTATATAGAAATATAATAGTCTTCTTCTTTTATCTGCTCCGATACCAAAAAGATAACCAAGGATATTTTTTCCCCTCAATTCTGTATGATATATGGTATCGCATTTAAGGTAGTTCTGGCGCTACCGCTTCTGCCTTGTGTTAAAGTACAATCACTGTCAAATCTGTCATTTTTAGTCTAAGAACGGATATTGAAAACGTCAGTTCGCTGCATGTAATCAACAGAAATGATGATTTATTCGAGCAGATTAACAACAGAATCAGGCAGATGTAAATGTTAGCACATTATTTTTTTTTTCATCATTAGAAATGGTTTTCAAACTCTCTACCGCAATAGCTTCTGGAGATAAATTCCTTTGTCACCGTTTAACTGTGTAGTCCAGAGTAAGGCATTGTTAAGAGTTGGAGTGTCCTTTTTCTGCCTAAATTATATGAATGCCATATTTAATCACGGCTAGTATTGAAAAAAAAATTATAAAAGACCTAATTGGAAGGGAGAAAATTCGACGGACCAGACCAGGATTCGAACCCGAGCCCCGTGAACTCTAGATACAAACTGAGCTATCTGGCTACCGGCTATCTAACATGACTGCAACAAAGAAAGGATATACAAATGTACAAAGTTACAAACCTAGCGCGGGTACTGTAGGATGAGCCTCGGGAAGGAAGTCCTGTAGCATAACAAGCAAGAAAATGATCCCCAGCATTAGTATAGCTCCTGAAAATATACCGTGTTTATGTTTGTTTTTCTGTATAGAGGAGACATTGGGACATTGTGTGGAAAATCAAAGCCTTAGTGTTATAAATAATATACATGTATAGCAACGACACAGTATAATTCTGACATATTCCTTCTCATCAATAAAACTACCAGTACATGTACTTACGACTACATGCTATCAATTATCGATATGGTTAATCAGAAAACGCATTGATATTGTAACATCATATACATGTACATCGTAAGGACTTAGTGAATGATACTAGCTAAAAACGTAATGTCAATCGGTCGACATTTTCATCTATGAACAAATATACCTACCAAGTGTCAATCGTTCTCTGGAGTCCGGGGGCAACAGAAACTGGAATGGAACAAGAATTGCCAACAGAACCGCCGGAAGAATGAACACATGGCGGTAATAGGTAGGGTTTCTCTTTAACCGGAAGGAGTATTCGATTTGAGGAAAACTGTTACTGGCATACTCGAACCGTTTGTCTGTCCGTATTGACAAGGATTCCGTTAATTTCCACTCTGCATTAAACCTCAAGTCCTCCAAATCTAGACCTTTTACACCATAAGCAAAGTGTGTGAGATTGATATTGGAATTATCGTAAGTCCACGACCCAAATGTTAATTTACATATTTGTTCATCAAATGGAAATTTGGTTAGATCCAAAGTACAGGGTGCCAGGAGCCGCATCTTTGGACTGTAGAATATGGCACCAGTATGAAAGACGATGGCGAGAGGTTCCTCTTTTTCTACAACAGTATCTGCACTAAATCAAAATGAAATGGGGTTTAAGTAATGTCATTAGACAGAACAGCCTCTTACAAAATTTATCTGCATACCAGGGGGTTTACTTACATGTCAGAAGTTTTAGAATATGATTGTGTATTTCTTTCGTGTGACTACTTTTTGCGGTTGCGATGTCATGATTGAATTATCTGGTTGACAGAGGCATGCGTAAGGTGTAAATTCTAAACGGAACTAAATAGAATTCTGATTGAAAAGCGCGAAAATAACCGCGAATGAAAGCATTACCAAAAAGACTTCATTTGCTATTCATCTATCCTTAGAATGGATTTATTGGTAATCTGCGCAATGCAAAAAGATATATTTCCCCTGGACACAGATTTCAAATATATATAGCAGAATTTTATTAGAAGCTGGAAGACAATGGGCGTGAAACGAAAAATTTAGATACTTAAATTATGCCGAATACAAGCACCTGTTAATAAGAACTATATCCGGTTTCCAGATGGAGGCTGCCGGTAGATGGACTGTCATAATTCCGCCGTATTTAGCAGGATTCCATGATAACCTGTAGTCTGCCCAAAGATGTCGGAGAAATGCCCCGGACTCAAAGACCTGACTCTTTTCATGCTAAAAAGATAACTCCAATGTGTTAATAAAAATTTGTCTGACTATTATAAATAAATAATTTTACATACATCTGCAAACTGATTTGAAGTCGAGGAAAAATAATAATTTAAAAACCATTCCCTTGAATTTCAGATTTTGGTATTTCACATAACAGGATGGCACTACTCATGAGAAACAGAAAATGGAAACAATCTCCTCATGGACTATAATTACACCGATTTGGGAAACTATTAGTAATGGTAAAACGTTATACCGGGGGAATCACCTTCGCTTGTCCTGTGCACACGATTATAGTAATACTAGTAGTGTTCTCTTTCATGTACATGTAATGAAGGAGACAATACTTCAATTTTAAAACGAATGCTAAAATTAAATTTTTGTTTTGTTTCTGTATTTGAAAAATATGAAAATTAGGAATTAAAAAGTGTCCACAAAGTAGGTATGGTTTTTTTTTTGTGTGAATACTTCGGTCTCCCAATCCGAGGCTAACATCAGTTTTTCTTATCTGTACGAATTAATTGTGATGTTTCTTATTATTCTTTAATTCTGTAACAGTCTTACTCTCTAAGTTGTATTAAATATTTACCAGTTCAGCTATCTCCGTCATTGCTAGTCCCAGGGCCACCACAACCACGGGGTTAGTAGAATTCGTGGGACGGATCAAACTATTGTAACTGTTCAAGATGTCTTTGATCAACAGTTCCTCTTTGTTTACTTCCCCTAAATTAAAATGAACACGTCTATGAAGATAATCAAATCAAGTAAATCACCTTATTTTATTCAAATTAATTTGACTTCCACCTGCAAAGGTGAGGTTTCCAATTAGAAATTCATCGTGCGAAAAGGTATCAATTGTCAAGGGGGAAATCAGTAAGGTATATTTCCTTCAAAGCTTTACTTTCATTTCTATTGCACTTAATTATGTACACTGCTATTAATTTGTAAACTCTTTGTGGTGTATTATATGGGTGTTTCTCTCTTCAGGAGCCACTCTCTGCGTTTACATCTATACATGACAGAACTCTTATCAGCCAAGCAATTGCTTTAATTCTTGTAAGTACAAAAAAGTCATGAACCATTTTACTACTGAACTGAATGCAGTTTATAAAGATTAAATACTATTTATTTTCTCCGTTGGTTTTAGTTTGATCTATACTTTTTCTTGATGATGATTGCCCATAAAGTAGTGCCCCCCCCCCCCCCATATTTCAAAGAAATTAAATTTCATTGGGAATCCCTTCCATTCATTGACATTGCATTGTGTGGGAAATACAACTCGAAAGAAATATTCACACTAAAAAATGAACAGAAATATTTGCCCTTCAGTCTCAAGCACCATCTCAGAATGTAAAAGTGCGTTAAGTAGGTTAACTAATGACTCGCTAATCCATAGCTAGCTGGTACATGTATTTAAAATCCAGATTGATGTAATTCTAATGTATTCATCCTTAAGAAAAAAAAACAGAGAAAAGACACATTGAAACTGAGAAAAGGACACCCCCAAACAAACAAACAAACAAAACAAAACAAGGAACAAGCATTCTGAGAGTATTACATATAAACAATACTAGTCCTTTACCAATAAGTATAAACTGCGTGGTTCCCCTTAAAAATCAATAACAATATTTCCGTTAAAATTCATTGAACGAAATGCAAACTTAACTCATCAAAACATACCCCCAAAAAGCTTAATATCTGTTAGTGTGTAGAAAAAAGAAAAGAAAACCAAGTGGGACAGACACACAGACAAGGAGGAAACCTGTAATCCCCTCCTGTTTCTCTGATAGAGGACTGAAAGCTTACGTACAGTTCAGATCGATTTTCTACATATTTATTTGTAATTTAATTTTTATGCCCCCATATCGAAGCTTCGGGGGTATATAGTTTTTGCCCTGTCCATCCGTCAGTCTGTCTGTTTGTCCGCAAAAACCTTAACATTGCTCATAACTTTTGATTGGTTGGAGCAATGGCTTTCATATTTCACATGTGTATTCCTTGTGACAAGACCTTTCTTTGGGTACCATCATATTTGACCTTGACCTTGGAGTTTGACCCAGTTTTACAAAATTTTACCCAACTTTAACCTTGGCCATAACTTTTGAACGGTTGGTGCTAGGGCTTTCATACTTCACATGTGTAATCCTTGTGACAAGACCTTCGTTTGGATACCAACAACTTTGACCCTTTGACCTTGGAGTGTGACCTACTTTTGAAAAACTTTAACCTTGGCCATTTATTTTGAACAGTTGGTTCTAGGGCTTTCATACTTCATATATGCAATCCTTGTGACAAGACCTTACTTTGGATACCAACAACTTTGACCCTTTGACCGTGGTTTTGGAATTTGACCTACTTTTGAAAAACTTTAACCTTGGCCATATCTTTTGAACGGTTGGTGCTAGAGCTTTCATATTTCACATGTGTATTTCTTGTGAGAAGGCCTTTCCTTGGGCACCGTTAATTTTGACCATTTGACCTTGATGTTTGACTTACTTTTGAAAAACTTTAACCTTTTCCATATCTTTTCAATGGTTGCTGCTAGGGCTTTCATATGTCACAGGTATATTCCTCGGTGCAAGACCTTAGTTTGGGTACCAGCATACTAGTATTAGATTTGCATTTCAGAAAGTTTAACCTTCCCTACAAGTTGCCATACGGGGGCATCAGTGTTTCACAAACACATCTTGTTTTACTCGTTGTAGATCGTACTCTATATCATATATCAAAGTGTCTACCCACAAATTTTTATTGAAATAGAAAATTTGATGTTAAATTTTCTATTTTAATAAAAATTTGTGGGAAGACAAAATGATAAGAAAGTTCTGGGTCAGACGTGAATAAGGTCCGTCATCTTAAAGTACAACTCATCGCAATTACAGAACTGAGATGCATTTCAAAGAAAAACAGAATTTAGACCACCATCATCTGATATTGAGCCAAGATCAAAACGAACCTTCAGGTCGTGGGGAACAAAATACTAAAGCTTGAATCAATTCCTGGCAAGGGTTATGTCTCAGATGAGATTCTGTGACAGACAGGTGGACAGTCACCCATGCCGATCAGTCAGTCAACCATGCGAAAACTATTATGGGTGGGGAAAAGTAATTGTAAATCATGTATCTTGTGGAAACAGAACGTGTACCAGTGATAAATTAAAAAAAATACATCTTTGAAATCTTGAAATGTGAATATGATTCAAAGGGAAAAGGAAAACTTCTAGTCCAATTAGTAGATGAATTTTCCTTTAAGGTTCATTGACTCTCAAATAAGAGAGATAACTTTCACTTGGACAAATGACTGCAGTTGTCAAGTAAAGAGGCAATTTCTGTCAAATTTTGTCCTGCAAGGTATAATGAAATAGTATGCATTTTGCTTATAAAATTATATTTCTTTTGGAAATTCGTTTGTATTAAAGAAAAAAAAATACATGAGTGAACGAAGGGGCGGTGAACCTTAAGCAGTAAGTTTTCCATTATGATCGAGTGGATTTAAATACTGAATGACTTTTATGAAGAGTTCACTTGACCTCTTTGAAACGCACTGTAAACTAATTGGCTACCAGTTTTATAACAAGCTTTGAGTCCGTTTATATACATACTTATAAATATCATTGAATTGGATCCTATGAGCGGTTATAATACTTTGATTCTACTGTATATTCCTTGATTATCTATATGAGGTGCAAGACTAATACAAACAATGTAAGAGTTTGGTTTTTTTTTTATTTGGTGTCTTGTTTACACAAATTTGCCACAGCTAATCCATGGTGAGATGCACAACGTTCTATTACTTGCATCAAGGGTTACAGTTTGCCATGGGTGACTGAAGAATATTATGAGTCCATTCTATTTATGAATATGCTTCTAGTTTTGGGTTGATTGAACTTTCATTTCTTCAACGTGTTTATTCAAACTTCTGTAACGGAATGCACTCTATTGTTCACAGAGCAAAGATATACATTTTCACTGAAGTTCTTTTGTTTAAGATGAAACTAATTCTTTGGAATTTTCAGGTCTGAATCTAACATACAAGACTATATACATCATTAAATGTTTATAAAATAAAGGATGGCCATCTAGTCCGATGTTTACTTCGAATTCTTCCACAGAGGGATATCAAAGCTGTCTTTGTTTGAGTTTATCCCTTAACTCTGATTAGAGCTAGGTAACGTTATAATGTTTACTCTGCAATTGTTTATTGACTGGAACGGTTGTTTTCGCGAGTATTTGATTATTAGAGTCGATCTCGGCACTCTGTGTATCACCGCAAACAAATAACATTGTCTCAACAGGGCACCTTGCTTTGTCAAGAAAAATTATCGTCAAATTTCCCGGAAAAAAATCATGTAAAAATTCTTCCCATTTCTTTCACACATTTTTTTTTTTGAGAATTTAATTGACAAAAATCAATTGATTCTTCTCAAGCATACCTGACAAGGCTTTTAACTGGCGAACTTAGGATTAATTAGGATAATATTGAAGTTGACTGGCATCTTGAAGTCAAATTACTCTCAACAAGAAAAAGTGGTCAAAGGGAAAGTGTTTTCCGGTAGTCTTAAAGTGTACAGTAATTTACCAACTCTTCACTCGCTAGATAACAGTGGTAGGCACCATGGGATTGCTCTTGAAGTTATTGGCTGGTAGTTAAAATTTGAGTTATTCATTACTTCACTTCACAGAAATATGTCATTCATTCTCATTTTAACCATTCCGTGCCATTTTTGAATATTTTCATCGTGATACAATTTCGACATTTTTTTTATTCACATTGATCATAATTTTATACTTATTTCTCGAATTAAATCTATATGCGAATATGTTAAAGAAATTCGACATTACTACACTGAGATTTGCAATCTAGCAAACATTTTTGTTTTCAAATACAGGTATTTAACATTCCTGATTTCACAATTTAAGAAAGAAAATGAAAAGAAAGAAATCAATGTAGAATTGATGTCATTTCCTTTTTAATTTGCCATTTTTAAAAATCTTACCTTGAGAAAACCCAATGACCAACAAGAGAAAGGTCACGGGAATCATTTTTGTGGGGATAATTTTTGTCGTCCTCCTCCAAACGCAAATCACAGAGCCAGCAAATTAAATTTTCCTTAAGGAATCCATTTTTATGCAGAAGAGAAGAAATGCTGCAACAAAAACAGTTGACATCGGATTGAATTCTAACTCCGGAAACCAGCAATCGGCCAAGCGATCAGGGGTTCTACCGTTTGCTAATTGTTCTGCGCGTGGTATTCCCTCGTGCGTCCATCATTAAAGTGGTATTTAGAAAAACAAAATATGAGATGTATATATAAACAGTTTATACTCAGACTTAGGCGTGACTGTATCTAGAACGCCGGTAAGGAATGCCTCACGCCGCGCTGGACAGCTTATCGCCTTTTCTCTGACTTTGGAATGTTAAGATAATGGGGATCTGGCGTGGCACCCCGGGAGGGAGGGGGCGGTCATGACACCACAAAAGCTTCACGGTGGGGGTCCTCACATTTATCTGGTAAACCACTGGATTAGTTGTGGCCCAATGTTTCATACAAACTGTCCATAAGAATTTTTTTTATCAGTTTAACAATTCTCAGCGCCCTCTCGCTCTTCGTCACGGGTGCCACTTCAAAGAAAAATCCAGCTTTCATCAGTTGAGTGGTTTTACCTACATGACGGACGCTTTTCGTTTTGTTTTTTGTGAAGTCAGATAATGACTGGAACTCAAATCTGTTGTCTTGCTAATCAGCTTTATTACACTCTCTTATCTTTCATTTTTTACCCTTTCTCTTATGACTTTTTTGCCCCTTCGAGTTAAGTGGAAAGAAACACGTTTGATCAATTTCACTCTCTGGAACCGTGAATTACCCTTTGGTTTTGGTCTTAAATCACATTATTTATACGTAGAAAGATGAAATTTCGATTCCGTATTACAGAATTCGACAAATTATCATGTACATGTATATTATTTTTTAAAAAATTAGAAAAAAAAAATAATCTGGAAAATAATGGTTTTAAGATGTGTAGAAATACAAGAACCTTTCAAAAATTACATAGACAAGCTGAAAATCTCAGAATTATTTTTCTCTATCCTTGTCTGTTATCGTCCTCCACAGGTTTTTCTTTCCTTCTCAAAAATTTCTTCTCAACGTCCTCCAAACTGATGGTTTGATTCTGACATTATCAAGCACGTTTAGTTTCCGAAGGGAATTTTCCAACGTTGAGCAGTGTTCCGGGAAATCGCCTGACATCTCAATTTTACACTGCTTGAAATGGCCTTATTTGCATTCATTGAAAATCTTTGCGACGCATTCGAATCTTACGTCAGATTTTGGTATAATCAATACCCTAAAATCTACATGTCAAGTTTTTTAAAAGAATTATTTTCTAGCAAATTACAGGAAATAAAATTGAAAATATATAGCGTTTGCAATTCCCACAAAATATCTCATTGCTTCATGGTTGGCATAATTCAATTGTTTTCCATACTCTGTTAGTTACATACATAACATCTATTCAGTTTATATAAATAGTCAAATCCTTCAATTAATCTTGGTGAAAATCTAACATGGATCGGAAAATGCATCGTACAATATGTGCCAATGTAAATCTCCCTAGATAGACAATAGTTACAGGTGTAAATCGACGCCGCGACAGACCCACTGGTGTCCAATTTCACATTTTCTAATTTTTCATAAAGGTTAAGAAGTTTAAATATATTTGAAATAAACCTTTGGGAGTATTTTTGTTTGAAAATCCCCATTAAATTAGCTTTGCTTTATTATGTCATTGCCAGTCGTGTTACCTATTCACCAAATATTCACTTGTCTGAATTAAGGGCTCTATTAACGACCGATGAAGGTAGAAAGAATATGGTCTTAGCTAAACAAGATAATAACTCACCTCAAGACAAAAAGTAAATATAACCTAACAATATATCATGTAAATATATGTAACTTTACTATGTTTGAATAGAAATATCGGCATTTGATGTCAAGTCATTTAAAGATCGAAACACGGGGTACTCAATCGACAAGGTGCTCTCTGAGATCAAGCTACGGTCGTGGCTGATAAGAAAGAATTTGTCACATAATTTTTTCCCCAAAATCTCGTATTTTGTTTGATTACTGATCATGAGGAATGAAGCCATACATCACGAATATTGAAACCATACAAAGCAAGGTTTTGTGAAGTGCATGATTCTGAAACGGTCACGCGATTGCATTGTGTCACCCTGTTCCAAAGGAACCGAACGGCACGAACTCGGCGTATTTCCAGCATTCACGCATAATTTCCAGTCAAAAGTAATTTAAACTGGGATTTAAAAAAGAGTAAGGGAAGAATAACGTGATGTAAATTTAATTTAGCGCATCCGACGGCTCCACAGGCGCTCAGCTCAATTTACATAGAACAAGGGAAGGATTATCAAGGGAGCTAACCTAGAACGGAAACAACCCGGACATTGCACATGTGGGAGAAAGGTCTTGAACCTTTTTCTTAAACGAAAGAATTTAATAAATTCTCGGCAGTTTCCATGAGTATTCAGTAATCTTAGGAAATGGTAACATTTAGGAGGAAACAATATATTTGATTAAATAAACTGTACAACCATTTGCTTAATTGCTGCTTTTATCTCTCTCTCTCTCTCTTCTTTATCCAGTGAGTTTCATTTTTCTTCCCACATTTTTACTTAAGGTCCATAATCTCTCTGTTCACTCAAATAAAATGTTGCTTTAACGCTTAAGATTTTCCAAAAGAAATAATGTATTTTATAAGTAAAATGGAAACAATCTTAGCATAGCGTGCGAGACAACATTGGTCAAAATAGACATTTTAACTTGACAATTTTATAAAGGAATAATAGATATTTATACCATGAAGAGTTGTCTCTCTTATCAAAGTAGCGATGAACCTTAATGCACTTTCTTAACTCTGAGCATGGGCCTAATGCAAAGATTTTAACGTTAACTGTTATACACACCCAGTACGGTACATTTTACCGCCCTCTTCCTACTCTCACTGCATGTGTTGTCGTATCTGTACATAATGTATCGTCACAATATCAAGGTTTTGTAATTACGAACTCCACACAAACCATCTTCACAATGTCAAGGTTTTGTATTACGGAACTCCACACAAACCATCTTCACAATGTCAAGGTTTTGTAATTACGGAACTCCACACAAACCATCTTCACAATGTCAAGGTTTTGTATTACGGAACTCCACAATCACAAAGTCTTGACATTGTGAAGATGTACATACCGATACTGGAGACAAAATGTGCCGAGATGAGACTTTTTTCTCGATGCAGAATGGGCGACAAAATGTATCTGGCATATTGGCACATATTGTGGTCGGCACCGATGTATGATGCAAATGTTTTATCGCCAAAAGTATTGTTAAAAGAATGTTTTACTGGGGTGAGATTTACACAAAGAAACAGTTAAAGACCAATGCGCTATATCGCGCTTGATGAATCAAATCTTGCTCAGTGTAAGCTTTAGACAATGAAACTTGTAAATCTTGGGGAAGGGATTGCAACTCCAAAACTAGGTCTCATTTTCAAATTCAGTCAAATCGTGTTTGAAATATATCTTGCAGACTGTGAGGCTTGGGGAAATTAAACTTGGTTAGTTGATGCATCTTGGGTGAAAGATGTTTTGCAATCTAAAAGTAGATTACCAAGGCTTCATTTTGGAAAATTATGGTTATATTCAAATTGTGCCCCATCATACTTTACACTCTGTGAGGCCTACATGTAGGACCATCAAACTTTGTCAGTTGAGGAGTGTGTATCACAACCCAAACTTTGGTCACCAAGGCCGTATTTTGAAATTTTCTGACTATAAATATGTAGTAAAATGTTACCGGGTCATATTAATTTGGTACTCTTTGAGGCTTAGGACCACCAAACCTACAGATGTAGGTCGTCATGACCCATTAGTCATGAAATTCACAATTTTAGAAGAGGCACCCTTGCTCATTATAACCATGTTCTTATTTTATCGGCTTAATAACCGGGAGCAGAGGAGATTTTCGAAGAATTAATGCATTTTCACTATATTATTATTAGAGCCCCGCCCTAACACAGAACCCCGACCCAAGGGCCATAAAATTCACATTTTTGGAAGAGGCGTCCTTCCTCATCATGCATAACTATGTACATAGTTCATCGAATTTACACCCAGGAGCAGAGGATGTTTCAAAGAATTAATGCATTATCACCATATAATCATTAGAGCCCCGCCCAAACATCAGAACCCCTGACCCAGGGGCCATGAAATTCATAATTTGGAAGAGGCACCCTTGCTCGTTATAACTATGCATTAAGGTTTGTTTGCTAAATACACAGGAGCAGAGGAGATTTTTTCTAAAAAAATAATCCATTTTCACTATATATTTAACAGAGCCCAACCCTAGCACCAGAACCCATGACCCTGGGGCCATGAATTTTAAAGTTTGGTAGAGGACTCAATGCTTATTACAACCATGCGGTTTCGGCCCCACCCCTCAGGCTCAAGGGGGGGGGGGGCAGGGACCACCAAGTTCACAATTTTTGTTTCACTTTACCTACAAATGCTGAATGCCAACATTGGTTAAAATTGGTTCAGGGATTCCAGAGAGGAAACTGAAAATGTTCGAATGTTAATGCAGGGCACGACGGACGAAAACAGATAGCAATAGGTCATCTGAGTTACTCACGTGACCTAAAAAACAAGGGTCCGTCTTTGTAGTTGAATGAATTTCTAGTTATCTATTGCAAACAAATAATCCGTTTCTTATGGGTAATTTAGCCATCTCAATGAAAGTGTTTTGCCAAAGCTTTGATATGCAATGTTCCTCTGCTAAGCAAAATAGTGTATCTTGATTTCGCATAGTGCAAATAATGAAGACGTTATTAGTTTTTTTTAAAAGTACAGAAGAAATCAGAGAGAGAGAGATGAATGTAACAATTCATTAAACTTTTACTGTATTTAAACTTCATATGAAAAGTAACAGTCTTATACAATTAATTATGATACTGATATATGAATTCTAATATATGAAAACATGTGACTTTTAATATTGTCTGCTAATGAAAATAAGAACGACTTTTGTTTAATATTTTTTATTCTAGTCTTTGGATTTATAATTATGACGAAAATCTCAAGAGTATATATTATCAGAAAGAAAATACACACAAAATAGGAAAATGTGAGGAATGGATGAGGATTTGCTGCAAGGTGAAGGTAAAAATGTGTTAGGGATGAAAAAAAAGAAAATAATTGATCTCATGTAATATATTTGTAAGTGTAAAATAAAAGTTAATATGACATTATACACGTTAATGTGACATATACATGTATCTATTAAT